AGGTATGATGGTCCTTTTGAAGTTGCTGCAAAAGTTGGTGAAGTTGCTTACCGACTGACGCTGCCTGAAAGAATGAAAATACATCCGACTTTTCATGTGATCTAAAGTCTTATGTTGAAGATTTTGAAGATTCAGGCAGACAAAAAACAAAGAGAGCTCCTCCTGAGATGCGCACTCAGCTTGAGGAATAAATTGAGAAGGTTCTTGACCACCGGGTTCTTGGGATGCATAAGACGAATAGGCGGACGAAATTCCTGATTCAATGGAAAGGAAATCCAGAGACATATGCGACTTGGGAAAAAGGTGATTCATTGTGGCAATATGAACAGCAAGTAGAGGACTACTTGAAGTCAGCCTCGACGAGGACGTCGAGTTCAACTACTGGGGGTGGTTTGTTAGCCCCTAATGTTGAGACGTGACGGTTGCCGGGGCAGAACCAATGTCAAGGGCTTGTACATTGCCCTTTAGCATGGGTTCGTGTGGGTTTGACAAGCAATGTATGGAGCGGGGAGTGTGCTTAAGTCAGTGCACGGACTTGGGCAAGTCAGTTGAGCAAGGTTCTTTGAGTGATGGCAAAGCAGCCTTTGATGTGGGCGACGATGATGGCAAACGAAGACAGACGCATGGCATTTGGCCAAGGCATGCGTACAGATTAGTGGGACGGCAAGACTGTGACAAAGACATTGTCATAAGCTAATGTGCGAGGCATGGTCAAATGACAAGGCAAGTTAAAGACAAAGTGTAGGCAAAGTTGTGTGCAAGACATGTTGCAGTGGGTTAAAGTGCTAACGGTGGACCATTTCGTGGGAAGTGCTCCACCAAACATGGCTAAGTGGTGAAGAGGGACATTTTGTGGGAAGTGCTCCATTACATGGCTAAGTGTTTGTTTATACCTGTCAAGCACTATGATGTAATTGCCCCTTTGTAAATTGCCCCCTTGTAATCTGCCAGTGGCAGCCGCTATATATAGGTGTTGTATTTCTTTGGCTTGGGAGGAAATCAGTTGTGAGCCTTCCAACAGAGAGTCCTTTGTATATTTTGCGAGAATAATAAAAGGTTGGGTATTTATCCGTAATTGTGTTGCTTCCGTTTCAGAAGTGTTAAATAATTCTATGTCCTAAACAGTGAGGGAAAAGTAATGCTGAGTAGCTTGAGTGTCAGGCTGCTGCCGTGCAGTGCCATTTGCGAAAAATTGGCCCTGTAACAATTAGCATGGTGAGTATAGTTTCCATCTCTTCTTTGTTTGTAGTCTGTTCTTATGTCGCATTGATAGCTGTTTAAGTGCACTATTAGCTGATAAGTTTTCATTCATGTGATGTTAGGGAAACATACCATTTTTGGAAGAGTTTGTCGGGGAATGGAAATTATCAAGAGACTCGGCAGTGTTCAAACTGATAATACTGACAGGTATTGTGCTTTCCTATCATATACTTTACATTAGCATGAGAACAAATGTCATGCTGCAGTATTCCGAAAAATGTTATGCCTACAGAAAACATCAGAAAAAAACCTTATTTGTGCATTTGAAGTTTGTTAGTCCTCTTCTCTTTAACCATACTAATGAGTATGAAGGCTCTAATTCAGGTTTCGTTTACTTAGTCTTCCATTGGATATGAATGCAGACCAATCCATGATGTGAGGATACTGAGGACTACAGTCAAAGATTGATGTTCTGCGACTTCAAAGCAATTGTTACAAGAAGGTGTTGTGTGTTGTCAATTGACATCACAGCCAAGACACATGCTACCTTCGGCTTTTGATACTGCTTTCTAAGTGACAAACTGATCTAGTCCTGTATGTGGGATTGTGCATTTTAATTTTCTGCAACTAAACCAAATGATACTTGAGAATCAAAATTGCTTGAGTAGCCAAATCAAACAGTAGTGTTTCATGGTTTGTTGTAACCCTAATCTAATGAAAAGGAAAAAGCCCGTAGGTTCCTCCTGGGACCCTTTTTAACTGCCATTTTGATATCAAGAAGACGCTTCCGTTAACCTCCATTCAAGAGTAGTTGGATTACTTGCTGTGGCTATACACTTGCACTAAGCATGCATCATTTTATTTTAAATTAAATATTTTTCTTGCTTAACTCGTCCATATTTGGAATTCAATTTTGCCCAGTATCACGCGTTTTCTGGAATGCATTTTATCATCATCCAACTAAATTATCTTCTGTTAGTATTAGCTGACCATTTACTTGAGCTGACAATAAAAGTCGTCCTGCATATTTTTACTTGTCTCTTTCAAATATAACGAGCAAGCAGTGTGGTAAGCCAATTTGAAGCTGCTAGCGTTTTAACTCTACGGGGTCGTTTGGTAGGTGTATAAGAATAGTAGTACTGAATATGGTGTATTAGTAATTTTGGAATTAGTAATGTTAAGAAGTTATGCTGTAATTATTTTTTATTGACTGTTTGGTTTGATGTATTAAAAATAATATGCATTGCATAATTTTTTTCCGGAAAAGGGCCTAAACTACCCCTATTGTTTGCTAAATGGTTTACAGATACCCTCCGTCCACCTATCTGTCCAAAAAAGCACACACCGTTAATTATATTAACAAAATTCCCCACGCGTCTAACGGCAGAATTTGTGGGCATTCAATTTAGTGACGTGGTAGTTTCTCATTGGGCCACGTGGTAATCTCGGGCTGAAACAAAAAAAGTGACATTTTCTTACATGGGTCATAAAATACATTAATCCATCTGACAAAACCCCATTTTAAAATTAGAACGACCTATACTTCACTAAGATATCCATTCTCAAGATTGTTTTTTGGGAAATTGATGGAGGGAAATCACAAATTGAGCACTAACACTTTTTCCCTTAAATCAGAATATTCATGCTTTATAAATGCTTGCAATAGTGAGAAGGTTCAAGTTCTAAGAGACAAATTGAACAATTTTATGGAGGATTAAAGGGAGAGTGAGTGTTCCAAGATTGCACAGTCTACCATGCTGGATAGTTCACCCGGACGAGGAGAAATTAAAGGAGTTAGCAAAACGAGAAGGCCAGTAGAATCTGTGGATACCAGTGAGTTTGCAAAGATTTTTTTTTTCTGGCTTAAAAGAGATTCTAGAAGAAATCTAGAAGATTTTAGTTTTTAGATATCTATGAGATACATTATTTATGCAGTTTGATAGCGCTGCACGGACAAGAAAATTGATATTTGGCCGCAGAAGCGACGCTCTAGTTGAAAACAAATTCGATCAATTATTAGGTGCTGGCCTTTCAAATCTTGTGTATGGATATCTTTGTGAAATTATGGGTTAATGTATTATTTTATGACCCAGTTAAAAAACCTTGGGTCAGATTAAGTGGGTCGAAAATAAGGTCAATGTTTTGTTTCAGCCCAAGATTGCCACGTGGCCCAATGAGAAACTGCCATATCACTAAATTGAATGCCCCCAAATTCTGCCGTTAGACGCGCGAGCAATTTTGTTAATATAATTAACGTCGTGTGCGTTTTTGGACGGATAGGTGGACGAAGGGTATCTGTAAACCATTTAGCAAACGATAGGGGTAGTTTAGACCCTTTTCCCATTTTTTTATGCAAAGGTTTTGAAAGTGCAGTTCTATCTTTATACATGATTATCCATGTATTAAAAATCATGGTATTGCTAATGTCATAATTTGTTATGTATAAGGATAGTACTGAATAGAGTGTAGTTATACATAGGTTGAAAAATACTACCAAACAAGGGATTAATAATATCAAAGTTAATATATGTATTATTTTTCCTAGTACATCCCACCAAACGACCCGTAAATAAAATCGGGGTCCCTTGCACTTGAGAACCCCATCCGGTATAAACCGCGCCAGGAACAAGATTTAACTAATACAACAAACTAAAACCATCCTTGTATCACAATTTTTTGACTCTCATTGAACGCTATTACTTAGAAATGAGGAGGAAATTTGACTGTATAAACTTCGTAAGGCTAAGATCGGATTATGCTGCTTAGATCCTTCAAAAAATATCTATTGATTCTTCTACCATGCAAGCTGTATCCGAATATTTAGTTATGTATACGGGTAAAACGGGGCTACCGAGCACCCCGATTTTTCGGTGAAGGAAACAAAGCAATGACATAACTACTCGGAATCAAGATCGAAGCCAGGATCCTCTCGCACTAAGGCCCGGACGAAGCACTCACCACCGTGACCATCGAGACAACACCCCCCGAATTCGGTTCGGGCTCCAAGACCTTGAAAGGCACAATCAAACAGTTGCACATGAGTAACGAGGGGCTGTGATATTCGCGCCTAACCGAATATCACAGCGTGGATCTCGGCCCGTATCAACAGATGATCAATGATTGACGAAAAAGAAGATTTTTACCATTCTTCGAGTTGTACTTAGGGTAAAACTCCCCTACTATGTAAAATGGAAATTGATTGTTGAATAGACACACTGTAACACGCATATCAAGGGACTATAAACTTGTTTTCTTTGTTTCTAAGCTATTCAAAAGTTCTTATTCTTGTTCATAGCTTTTCATATATATATATATATATATATAT